CCCCCTCCTTTTCTTCCCTTCATTTCTGCATATGCTTGGCTGTTCAGTTTCCTCCCTCCGAATGATGGGCTTGAATGTCTGTTAGGAATGAGTCACTCATTGGCTTCATAAAACATGGTTTCTGGACAAATTTTTGTTGTTGGGTTTATAAAGCATCTTAAGTTTCCCCACATGATGCCAGATCAAAAAGATAAATTAAAATAATCGAACCTAACTTCTAAGAAATATTACTTAAGTCACAACAAAAAATGTGAAATCTGTTATAGAAGCTTGGTTTATAGACAAAGAGAACATGTTTACAGTTAAGAGGGTGATTTAATTGATAAAAACTTAAAATTTTAAGTAAGAGATCTTAAATTTAAATTTTGAAAAGTGTAAAAATAAATAAGAAGAGAGAGAATGATGACTTATTAATAACTTATCATATTTGTTAAAAAAAAAATAACCATATTAATTTATGGTTTTGTGTTGTTTGTATTATCATAATGAAATGGTGAAAGGTTGTGTATATACATTGTTTAATTTAAAAATTTATTGTTTTATAGTTTAGATTTTATAATAAATTTTTTTGTTAATTTGATGGGAGTCTAGCTAGAAGGTAGGGCAGGAGAAAAATTCAAACTTTGCTTTGTAACAGGCTTAACAAGGATTGGTTTTGTCAAATTAAAATAAATGTTAGGATTTGTAGATTAATGTAGGCTCCACGCCGTAGCCCTTTCTTCTCTTCAACCGTTTTGTGACTTGTGTGGCTAGGGTCCATTAAACTTTAGGGTGCAATTATGACAACAAAAAGATTTTAAGAGTATTTTTCAAGTTCCTGAAAAGATTGAGGGCACTGATATATTTATCATGGTGTAACTGATATATTTATGATATATAGTTAATAAGTATTAGGGGTTGCAGATTTTCCTCCGAAGAAAAAGTGCACAAATGTCCATAAAATTATTTAAATACATTTAATTAATCAACATAAAGATGATTTATTAAGCACCTGGCCCTTCGAGTTAAATGCCCTTCGAATTACCTTGAAGATGCACTCCTCCTCTCCCTGATGGGTTTGAAATTCGAATCCCACCCATGACACTTTATTCAAAAAAAGAAAAGAAAAGATGATTTATTAAAGAAATTTATTTAATTTATAAATATTCTTACATTTTTATTTGTAAATTCACCTGAAAAAATAATTTCCTGATAGTAATAATAATATTAATTAAAATATTTTGCTAAAAAATAGTATTATTTAAATCTTATATATATCGAAAAAGTAAATATCAACTTATATGGTAAAATGTTAAATTAAAAAATATTTTAAAATTGAGTCTTTTTAATAAAATTTTATTAAAAAACTAAAATATTTTAATTTTTAAAATAAAAATGAAGTTATTTTAGTTTTTTTATGATATTTTATTAAAATATTACAATTTTAAAGTGTATTTACTTATTTTTTTATAATAGAAATTGATACACATTAATCCCTACATATGCATTAATTTTTCTAAAAAGTAATGATGGAAGGGACGAAAACGAAAGACGAAATAAGGAACAACAGGTTATCCAAGATTCATACATATGGTGTAATTATTAATTTGACCCTCTTGCATTACTTGTCGTCTCCCTTTTCGTCCCCTCCATCATTATTCTTTTTTAAAATATAGGTCAATGATGCATTAATCGATATAAAAATGTAAAAGTGACTTTAATTTTATTAATCTTTTAATTAAGAACACTCATTAATTTTTTTATATTTTTTCATATAAATTAAAAAAATACAATTAATGCAGAAAAACCTTTCATTTTTTTTTTCTTAAGATGCGTTACACATTTCCCCCCCTTGCCACCTGGTTCTTTCTGGACCCACCTCAAATCCACGTGTCCACTTAACCCAAAG